GGAGAAGGAGCCTGCAGGGTCTGCCTGGCACCTGCCCCTCGTTCCCATAGCTCTAGAGGGGAGGGGAGGTGCTGGGAGCAGGGTGCCACCAGGGAGCTCTCACAGTGGTTGCAAAAGTGGGACAGAGCTTGAACCAGGGCGGCAGAAGCCCCTGAAACAGTAAGTGGCCTGGAGGGCCATAACTGCAATCTGGAGCCTTTGCTCCAAGTTTCTCCTCACAGGGCCTGGGGTCCCTCCTGACACCAGGCAGAGGGCCAGAATCCTACAAGCCCAGCCTCTGCCACAGCTCCTTGCAGAAGCTGAGGCTCACTACCATGCCCGCCCCAGCACTGGGTTTCCCGCCCTATTTCAGCAAATGACCTAGACCCAGCAGAACCTCCCATCTTCCAAAGTTCAGACGGGGTCTGAGGGACACGCGGTCGTTGGCTATTCCAGACAAGGTGCGCTTGGCAGCTCTGTGGCCAGGCCAGGCTTCCGAGCTCTGCTACCACCCAGCTGGCTCCACTCTTCTCTTGTTGCTTAGTAACCTGCGAGCTTCTGTGAGGATAGGAACAGTGCAGACTGAGTGGGCGCTGGTGCTAAGTGCTGGGGGTGGCCCAAGACACAGCCCCTCCTCCCCATAGGTGTCCTAATGTCCTGTCTCCAGGACCCAAACCTTGCCCCCAGGGCTTTACCAAAGGGCTCCCCTGCAGGGAGGACACAGAGCAGTCCCAGAGGGGCTCCAAGCTTCTGATGGAGCCCAGACACCCACCTGGTGGCTTGACAAGAAGTCCTGCCACCAGCTTCTTCTCTTTGCTCAGAAATACATGGGCTGAGATCTGATGGTGGTTGTGGAATAGGGACTAGGTGACCAGGGACACAGCTGATCCACAGGGAACAAGCCCTCATCCCTTCTAGCTGAGGGTCACAGTGAAGACAGACAGGATATGACCTGAGAGTAACCATTCTGCCCCTCTCAGAACACAATGCTGTGCTGGCAGCTGCAAGTAGCTGGGTACACAGGTGTGACAAGCTGCCATGAGCTCACCAGCTGCCGACAGAGCAGGGAGAAGCCGACAGGAATACGGCCAACCGCAAACACCACGAAGGAGACAGACAGCGAGACTACATGCACGTGATGGCCAACGCCAGGAGCCCTACACAGGAACAGGTGCCCACAGCCTGCTGTCCTCCTGTCCATGAGGCAGCAGCCTGGCCTCAGGTGTCACTGGACCTCAGGGGCATGGCTGTTTTTCAGGAACCAATACCCAGGTTCTAAGGGTGTACACACCTCACCAATGCCACATTGCCCGTGGCTGCAGCTGCCCCACTGCTCCAGGCCTCCCTCTCCCAGTGCATCTGAGACCCCCAGCCGGCTTTCACCCAAGGCTTGTGAACCACGGCACTCGTGTTTAGCAGCTGTCCGATGCTGGGAGCTCAACTGAGCTGTGGCCTCTGTGCCTGCTGTACAGCTCACCACCTGGGTGGGGACCTTCTATCAGCCTCCAGTAGAGCAACCCCCACTTACACCCAGGAAACGCTGTTCAGGACCCTCTTCCCGCAGCCCTGACTGGGGACTAATGTGAGCCATGCTTAACTAGCAGGTTCCTAGACAGACCTGGGGGACTCCCACACCTGGCAAGGCCCAGTGAGACAGAGTCAGGACCCTCAGAGAGGCTAAGGCACCTAGGAAGATGAGGGCTGGCATCCAGGACTCTCCTCTAGCCCCATCACCCACAAACCAGGGCACAGGCGTGAAACAGAAGGAGGTCTCCTACAGGGGCTAACTACAGAGTCCAGGGAAGTTCGTGAAACTCCTTCTGAAAGAGCATCAGAGGGCAAGAATGGAACTACCAGCCTTCCAGAAAATTCTGCACCTTTCAATGAATTCACCACAGTGCTCTGAAGTGAAACCCCTGAAAAAGAGGGAAAGTACTTGGAAGTCTGAAGGACAGAGGGCAAGGGAGCCATTTACAGGGCAAAGCTGCCGAGTGTCTGAAGCCTGCAGGAGAGAAGGAAGGCAGCTCTGGGAGACTACTGAACATGCTCAGGGCCGCAGAGATCTGGACGGCCACTCCATCACCCCTTTACGACCCTGGAGTAAGCAGGAGCACAGGGGAAATGGCCTGCACTGAATTCTGAGAAGAAGAGAAGACAGTGGTGGGCCCAGGAAGCAGGTAAGACCTGAGCCAGCCTGGGAAAATTTCCATGCAGATTCCCAAACTCAGCCTTCTGGGAACATGAGGCTCTTCATTAAAATGACCATATGTTCTCTGGACAGCCCAGCACCCAGAAGACAGATGCCTTTTTCCAGGAGAGGTAACATACTTACACAGCTAACAACCATTTAAGGTCACCTGCTCTATGCCATGCAGTGAACAGGACATGGAGGGCAGGAAAGGCAGCCCTGCCCCTGCGTGCTGGGCACATGGGTAGCAAAGCATGCTTTGCTTCTGACCCTCTGTAAATTTCTCTTCCCGTCAGTGTATTCAGAAATCAGGAAAAGGGCAAAAAGAAACCCTTTATATTCAGACATTCTGGTTTAGGTTAATCATCCCTCATCTGAAATGCTTGAAACCAAAACTGTTTCAAATTTCAGAGCTTTTAGATTTTGGAATGTCTATATATTCCAGAAATATACACTGGGCACCATGGGCAGCAGGGGGTGCAATGCCCTAGTCGAAATCATGTTTCCCACCATTACACCCACATTCCACCCACCCAGAATCTATCCATGGGAACAATCCAGACTATAGTCACAGCTTTCTGCACAAAAGGGCTTTGCTTTGGCGACATTTAAAGAAGCAGAAAGTCCAACAATAGGGGAAAGGGTAACTAAATAATTGTATAGTCCCTGAATGAAATGTTCTGCAGTCAGACAATACAACAGAACAGGCCCAGAGGCCAGCCACTGCAGCTATCCCTAACCTGAGGCCCTGGCCTCAAGCATGCCACAATGGCTGCATGGAGACAAACGCACAGCTTGTCTCCTTGATGGATTATGTAGCCACAGAAGTTCACATCCATGATGGCACTGTGTAATGTGGATAAATGCTTATAGTTAAGTCAATTCAAATTCAAGAGAACTCCAGGCATGGTGGCGGACGCCTGTAATCCCAGTGGCTCGGGAGTCTGAGGCAGGAGGATTACAATTTCAAAGCTAGTCTCAGCAACCTAGTGAGGCCCTAAGCAACTCAGTGAGAGCCTGTCTCTAAATAAAATACAAAAAAGGGCTGGAATGTGGCTCAGTGGTTAAGTGCCCTTGGGTTCAACCCCTGGTACAAAAAATTTAAAAAAAAAAAAAAAAAAGAAGGCAAGAGCGTTCCATAGCAGCAGCTTGAGGAACACAGAGGATGCCCACAGCCTACATGGGGCATGTCACTGTTCACCTCCCAGGTAACAAATAATAAGCTTTGCCCAAAACACTATCCACTACGGAGCATCTAAGGCCAGCATGCAGAGATTGCCCCTTGGCCAGCTTGGCTTGGTGGTGGATGTTTGACCCAGTAGTCCTAGACCTGAATTTGAACCTCAGCCTTCTCAACCTATGGCTTCTCTTTGTTCCCATATTTACTGTCTACATGTCTCCTGTAACTACGAAATGGGAAGTATAACACCAGCCGCACCCACAGCCCACCTTCAGTGAACTCTTCCTACCTTCTGCCTGCAGCGCTCATCCCATGCACTTTATTGGCCACCAGGGGGCAGTGTGAGCCAGATATTTTAGGTGGTCCACAGTACTGTAGCCTTCTACACCAAAGTTTACAATGCTCAGATTTTACATAAAGCAAGGGGTTATGGATTGTGTCCCCCCAGAAAAGATATGTTGAGGTCCTAACCCTGGTACTGCTGAAGGAAAACAGGGTCACTGTTGATGTAATTATGAAATTAACACCAGACCTTGTTGATTTAATCCACTGGCATCCTCATAAAACCTGTCATGTAAAGACAGAGACTCACAGGAGACAGCCACACAGGGAAAGAGCAGAGTCAGGATGATATAGCTGCCAGCCAAGGAAGCCAAAGGCTGCCAGGAAACACCAGAAGAGGAGAGGCAACAAATGGAAGGACTCCTGTGGACTTTAGAGGGAGGAAGCGTGGCCCTCCCAACACCTGAATAAGATTTCTGTTCTCTGGGACAATATATTTCTGTCATTCTGAAAGACCCATTTTGTGGCACTCTGTTAAGACAGCCCCAGGATACTAACACATAACACTTCTCTTCAAAGACTGGACAGCCTTATCCACCTGGCCCATCTTCTATAGCTACCAGTATTCTGGCCCACTTAGGCCCAGTCCCCACCACCCAGACGCCAAGGCCGCAGACTCTTGCCATTCACTATCACATCCACACAGCTGTTGGCCTAACAGAAGACAAAGCTGGCAGTGCCCCTGGTTCAGAGAATGGAAAAGGAGGCCCATGTCTTGGTGACAACAGGTTCACAGGTTTAAGTGCAATCTATGCTTTTTTATTTGTTATTATTATGTGGACTCACTCCAGTCTGCCCTGCCACACCCCAGCCTGGGCCCTGGGCCTTTTGAGCATCTGAGCCTCACAAGCAAGCCCAACTTAGCACTCTTCTTACCTGGATATTTGGACACTATCACTATGAAATGGCAAGACCACTTCGCAAATAGAACCGTTCTTTATTGTTCCAAACCCCACAAAGCTCCTGATCTCTGGTCTCTGAGAATGGAGTAGTGTGGTGTAAACCAAGCCAGAGAGTCCTTTAAATCCTTCAAAAGGTATTTATGCTTTCAATTTTGGGTGAATATACCCTGCAGTCTAAATGCAGAATTGCATCAGTAAGTTTTCCATGAATAAATTACCATAACTGGGTCACAGTACACAACTATAATTTATGCTGCTTTGAAAAATGGTGATAACAGGTTTCCCATCACCCAACACACGAGCGGGTGTCTTTGCCGCAGGCCCCTGTAGAAACGGCTGATACCCTCCCTTTCCATGGTCCGCCTGCACTGCAGGTCTGTGAAAGGACAGTGACATTCTCAAGGCTCACCTTAGGTGGCTTCAAGCTTTTCCCTCGATGCCTCTTGGAGCGCAGGAGCCGTTCCCTCTCCTGGAAGGAAACACAACCATTGCTGTTCCAGCCGGCCTCACACTGTCACACCTAGCAATGCTACTGGCTCTCCAGGGCTGGGAGGGACMCTGCCATGCCTACTGTCTGCCTTGGGACAGGATGTTCCGGGATCTAAGCACCCAAGTCATAGCTGCTTCTTGGAACTAAGCTATGAGGACAAGCCATTCACTCAGGTCCTTATCTGGGAAATGCCTGGGTTCGCCAGCCCCGTCCTACCGTGCCTGATTTCGTCGTTGGGGTCTGCAGCTGTACAGCATGAAGCAGTGCACTGCACAGGGGCTCCCTGGCCTCGGCAAGTTCTACCCGGACAGCAGCAAGTATGAGAACACCTGTGGCTTTGAACATGGACAGAGCTGAGATCAAATCCCCTAGAGCCTCCTCCTGGCCTGAAGACAGCTTTATTTCCCTCCTCTGTTTTCTCATTGCTATCCAGGCTAGACCCTGCTCTATGGCACTGCTGTAAGAAAGAACAAGAGACTGGGGTGTCTGGTGGTCTCTGTCAGTAGGAATGGTCCCGTGAGGCGGGAGTAGCAGCAGCACTGTGCCCCACATAAAACCAGGGATTCGCTCCTAATCACATCTTCCTTCTCCTTCCAGCGGAACAAATCTGGTGCTTAGCTTCAGCTTTATATGGTCCACACTTCTGATCCTTAGGCATTATCCTTATTTTCTCTAGTTTTGATTTGGTTTCTTCTTCTTTTTTTGACTTTATCCCTACTCACTGAGTGTTTTCTCATCCTAAGCTGCATCAACTCTTTTGTGTAATGAAGAAAAGACGGATGGATATTTGGATAGGTGGGTGAATGAAGGAAGGAAGAACTGAAAGAGGCAGAAAGAGGGACGGACAGAGAGAGTGTGACACTGGCCAAAGCCTTCCCTAGAATTCTGATGGCTTTCTATCCTGTGAATGGACCCACCATGTCTCCTGGGCAGGCAGCATATGCTCACTGCAGGGCAATGGTGGCCCTGCAGAATTCTCTGGATAGAACACCCCACCTACTTGAGGCAGGCCGATTCCCATCTCCTTCCACAAATCTGCACCCCAACAGCCTTAACAAGCCCTTCAATTTCTCGTCTGATCACAAGGTTCAGGTTTGCTGGCTCAAACTCACAGACTGCAACAGCTAAGCTAAAACAATAAAAATGTAAAAACTGTTAATAATTCCCAGGCTTCTCAGGGATGGATCATACCCACTCTGTAAAGGCCAGAAGACTCACTGCTACAACTGACACTGCTTCTTAACAACAGCAAACCAGGGAGACCACTGAAGAAACAAGAGTAGCCATGACACCATTCCCAGGTAGCAGCATCTCACCTCATGGAGACCAGGGCTGTTTCCTGGCAGAATACAGCAGGAATGTGCACACCACAGGGAACACAGCGGGTCCCCAAAGCTATGCTGCCTTACCTGGCCCTGATTACCCACTGCCCACCCCTAACACTGTGTGTCATATGGTGCCACTCACTTGGAGGCAGCTTACCAGCGAGAGGTCGTCAATGACGTGCTGCTGCTCCAGCACCTGGAGCCTCAGGAACTCGATCTCCTGTTCGTCCCTGGTTAGGCTGAGGTCGTTCAGGGACGTGTGACGCTTCAAGGAGGCTTGGGCCGACAGCTTTTCTTTCTGTGACCAAGGGAGAGAGCACTGCAGGATCACCCATGCAGTAGTGGTTGTTAGGGACAGCATGGTGTGAGCTCAGGGCACGGAGACAGAAGGCCGATGAGAGGACGGGAGATGACAGTCACAGGCCCAGCCAAGCCTGTGATGTGGCTGATGATGCTCATGAGTGGGAGAAGGGGTAGGCAGGGCACAGGGATGGGGGGCACAGAGGGTGGTCTGAAAGAGCTTTGAAAGCTGGAAAGTTCTACTCAGCTGTGATGGCTCATACTGTTTTACACACCTTAGAGCAACTCATAATCTGCCCTGACCACAGAGACCAGCCATCCTCCTGGGAGGGAAGGTCAGCACTAGATCAAGAGTAATTCCTGTGACTGCCCCCACTGACGGGCCTCCACTACAAGCCCCACTTTCTAGGGGCCCTCTGTGCACTGTCATGCATCCTATGGGTGGATGTCCACATCCTGCAATGCAGACTTCTTCCTTCCCATTTTGTAGATGAAGAAACCGAGGCTCAGAGAAAACTGAGATGTCTCTAAGGACACAGCTGTCTGGCCCCTCCAGGCACAGATGCCCCCAGCAGTGCACATTCTAGAGATGTGGAGAGAACGGAAAAGGCTGTGGACTGACCCTGTTCATGAGGCTTCCTGGGAGCAAGGCAAGAGTAGCCCTGGAAATGTGGACTGTGAGATTTAGGGCTGGACCACCCAGACCAGAATCCCAGGGTGGTCCCGTATGACTGGGACTTACCATTTCCACGTTTTCCCTTGTGAGATTCTTGATTTTCTCCTCCATCCTCTGGATACTCTGTAGCAGGTCCTCATTCTTCTTGTTCATCCGCTTGTTCTTCTCCACCAGTGGCTTTAGCTGTACCTCGGTCTCACGGGACCGTTTCAACTGTGGTGGGGACAGATAGAGATCAGGCCGCTTGAAGGCTTGGGGGTGGCCAAACTCCTGCTAGAGAAGTGAGCAGAGATTCAGCAGCCCACTCAGAGCTGCCACCACAAGGACCTATACAGTGTAAACACCGAAAGAGCCTCCAAATGCAGCATCTCACCCAGGCCTCAGCCACTGGAGTAAGGCAGAAGGAGGAGGCCACAGCCTGACAGGGTGGCCCACAGATGGGCCTCAGGCTTTCCACTGGCTGGTGGCTGTGTTGTGACCTCCCTTCCATGGTCCTTCCCCAGGACATGACCCCCAGAGGTCAGAGATCACACACAGGAAATTCAATCCTACCTACTGTACTCCTGGCTACCCCAGGCACAAAGCTAACGGCAGTTCAGCGTCCTTCAGCCAACAGATATACCCTGGGCTCAAGCGTGCCAGTTTCAGTGCTGGGGCCAGGAGATAGGCACAGCCATCTAGCCCTGGAGGAGCTCCCCAGGACCTCTGGGCAGATCATCCTTGTGATGTACAGGCTCTTGTTTGATCTCTGGGAACACCTCTGGGGCCCCTCTTGGCCATTTGTTCTCCACCCAGTTCCTAGTGACTTTGAAGCAGGAGAGTCTGTAATCAGGTTTATCTTCTAGAACCATCCATGGCTCTGACTGCAGTGTGGAGGGCGGGCCAGTGAGACAGAGTGGTGGTGGTGGGGGAGGGCAGAAAGGAGGAACGGGGCGGGGGGTGGGGGCTGTGCAGGGTTAGAAACACCACACTTCTTCCTCCGGGCAGTATCCCTGCTAACATTTTTAGCTGCATGATCATAGTCAAATTCTTAGCCTCAGTTCCTCATCTATAAAATGGGAATGATGGCAGCACCTGCCTCAGACTTGAAGTGAGAATTAAACACACAGTGAAAATTAGAACAAGTTAAATGCCATAAGGATCACACCCTAACTCCTCGTCAGGAGCCTGAAACACCAGGGACCTTCCTGCTCTCCTTCCTTGAGCCCTTGGGACCTAGGACCTGCCAGCCCACCCCACACTAAGGATGAGAGCCTGCAATGGACAGGAGAGCAACAGGGTCACAAGAAAGTGCTAGAACCAAGGCTCAAGGTCGAGGGACTGACTCAAGACCCCTGCCTGCAGTTGCCATCTTAAGAGTTAGCATGAAGCTCTCTGGGACTGTCTGTTCAGAGGGTCTGTCAGCAGGAGCCCCGGGCTCAAGGCCAAATGCTGGAGAAGGATCGATTTCCACTTCAAACACCTCAGTGCTCCAGCTGCCTGGGGCCTGTGGGCATTTCCTAATCCACTCGGCAACCAGCACAGCTCCTCAGAACTTTTCTGTTCATGAATATTTAAGTGAAAAGTAGAGATAAATTAGATGTACAGTCTGATTAAAGCTGTATTAAATATGCCTTTAAAAACACTAGAAGAAAATGAATTGATTTTGATCCTGTTGAAGGTATGGAGTGATACTTAACACTTTTCATCTGTTTTTGTCAAATATTCTATAGACACACTTCCCTTCATCAAAGTTAAACATAAAATTTAGGAGGTGTTTGTCAAAAAGTTTATGTACTGATACTCCACATAAAAATTTGTTCAGCAGTTTATCCAGTGAATTTAAACAGATTTATAAAGTTGCTGTTATTACTGGAGATTTGCTTTTTAACCAGAAGTCCATATTCATTATTTTTTAAACATAGAAGCATATAAGTTTGATGCAAAAGAAAGTAAAAAGATAAAAATAAAAACTAACTATAATCAAATCACCTGCCCTCCCTCCCAAAAAACCCTTTCTGTAGCCAGAATGGTAACAAATTATTTTTGTTCTGTGAAATGCTTTTATCATTTAATCAGGAACAAATTTCCATGTCAATTAAATGTGGTCTACCTCCTCAGTCCTAATGACTGTGTAGAAGTCATTGCACAAAAGCTTCAAAGCCACCCTGGCCAGTGCCCCAGTATGAGTGACTGTGCCTGGCTGTTTGGGTGGCTGCTGTAGACATGCTGCAATGAGCATCCCCTCTACCTGCCTCACCCAACTTCTCCAACTGTGCTCTAGGGGTAAGTTCCTTCCAAACAACAGAGTTCTTCAATGTGTGTTAAATTTTTAATCAAAAAAAAAAAAATGAGAAGGAAAGTAAAGACAACCAGGGGCTCTGCATTGACCCCGTGTCTCAGGCAGGTGTCGCGGCCAGGGCCCTTGCTTGCAGGCGCTCCCTGTCCCTGTGCAGCAGATTACCAGTTCACTCCGCTCATCTGCCAACAGGGCGTTTCTGTCCTCCAGCTTCCGTATGACGGAATTCAGTTCAGCAATTTTTAGTTGAAATCGCCTCACGTCTCGCTCATCCATATGTTGATCCTAAAAAAGTGAAGAGACAAGCGTCGTGTGAGGAGGCCTCTATGGACGGAAGGGCTCCCCAGAGCACACAGCAGCAGAGGTCCTTAGGACAGCTGTGGGGCGGGGAGCAGGTTGGTGACACCCCACACCCTGCCACACTCCTGGGGAAGATGTCCCCTCCAGAGGATGGAGACTTCCACCCTCAGTGGCCCCAGGGACCTCTCAAAGCTCTGCCTCCCTGCCTCTCTCACAAAGACCTGCCCATGCCACCTGCCCAGTCCTCCAGGGCAGAGGCTGAAGCGCCAGCCCCTGCGGTGCTGAAACGCAGCGCTCCTAGCAGAGGTGGGTGTGAATGACCACAGGCSGGCATGCTCGGGGCCCCTCCGTCAGGGCCCAGCCAGTGCCCTCAATGCCCTTGCAGTTGTCACTTTCACTGACTTGTAGGACTCTGACTTTGCCACTCCGTGCCTTCCTGGCCCCACAGTGGACGCTTTGTGAGGTCTTCATGTTTTTCTCTGCAACGGAGTCCTGAGACCACATTCGGCCAAGACAGTCAGTCTTTACCTGGCCCTTCTCAGCGCCCAGCGCTGGCCTGGCACATGGGACGGGCTATGTGGGGAGGAAAGGGTATATGGATGGGCAGAAGACGCATGGGAGCATGGGAGGGTGGGAAAGGCCGGAGAAGGCAGGCTAGCCAACAGATGACGGGCAGGGAGGAAGGGGTGGTGTTGGTCAGCCCTGAAGTGCAAAGGCTTGTTGCGGGAGCTGCACCTTACCTGGCCCCCCATGAGTTCCGCCATGTCCCCAATGCCAGGCGGGAGCTCCCTCTTTGGACTGCTGTGATGGCGCTCAGCCTCTTTGACCTGGACCAGCTGCTCATCCAAAGCCTCCTTCTGCAGAAGCAGCCTCTGGGCCTGGCCGGCTTGCACACCCAGCTCCTTCTCCAGGGCCAGAATCACCCGGTCTTTGCCTTTGATCTCATCCATCTGGAAAAGGAAGCGAGGGCAGCTAGGCAAGGAGGGGGTTCATGACCAGGGAACCTGCTCCTTGCCAGGGCTTGAGGCCTAGGGAGGTCAAACCAGAGCTGCGGACAGGCTTGACTGAACTGGGAACTCTCAGGACCACAGTGGCCCAAATCTATGGCCTGAGTCCAGCTCCCCTTTATTCCCCTGAGGACAGAATGGACAGATCTCTGAGTCCAAGGACCTATACAGTCACCCTGGCACTTGCTGCTGGAGCTCAGCTATGCCCAAGTCCCCCCCACTTCACTTAATAGAACATGTAAACTCTGCCCAGCAGCACACCCCACCCAACCTCTCTCTACAGCGAGCTGCTCTGCACGGCCGCTGCTCCACTCGACCCCAGGTCTCCCACTCACTCACCAGCCACTTCAGCCCCCACCCCACCACCAAAATAGCTCCGGCCAGGGTGGCCAAGGCACTCCAGGCCCTCTGCCCACTGGACGAGTTTCGTCCTCCTAGCCTCAACTTGAGCAGTGCCTTACAAGGTGGCCCTCTACCTGCCTCATGAACTTCTCCTTCCCTCACCTCTTCCACCGGGACTCCTCAGTTTTGAGCCTCCTCACACACACGACTTGCTCTGGCTGCCCCTGATGCCTACAGATCCTGCATGATGGGCCTCTTCTCCCTGTGTCCCTCTTGTGGACAGCCACGTCCTCACCCATGTCATCAACTCCTCCCATATGCAGCTGACACTTAAATGGACACCCAGTCCTGACTTGCCCCAGAGCCCCAATATCACAGAACCTCTTGGTGGCTTGGCCTCCCTGCTTGGCCCTCCAGGAGCATACTCTCAGGCCTTCGAGGGTATGTGGTCCTGCCAGGACTTGGACTTCTATGACTCCAGAACTGTCAGAGGATACACAAGTTGTAAAAAGCCATCTGGTTTAAGATTATTTGTTTCAGTGGTCCCAGGAAACTAAGACAGGCATTAAAAGGGACAACTGGAGTTTCATTAATTGACCAAAATCACAATGGCCTGAGCTGGGTGATTACTTGTTGTCACAGCATTTAGCAATCAGCTGTTTAGATGGGTAAATCTCTGAAAGAATGCGCACAGCTCAGCGAGGACGGTGTCAAGCACATGCCCAGGAAAGGTCAAACTGTTGGGTCAACCATGGAAAGGACTCCACAAGCATATTAGAATATGAGCATGCCATCAATGCTGACCTGACATTGACTCATTGACCTTTCTCAGCTCCTACATCACATAAGACAGTCTAATTTACAAAGGAAGCCAATGAAAACTGATAAAACACACTTGAGATCATAACAGGAGAGAAGTGGTGCCCCAGGTCCCAGGCTGGGAGGTCATACAGCCACGAGCTGCAGGCCTGCCAACACCAGAGACCTTTCTTTGGAAGACTTCAGGCTGCTCTCCACCTGCCCTGCGCAGATCTCTCCAGGGCTCAGCAGCCGGCGTTGATGCAGTTTCTCCTTGAGCAGCGCGGAGTGTGCCCACTGCTACCCTGGTCGTGGACCATCAGCACCCACCTGCTTTGGCTACATCCAATTCCTGAGTGGGAGGGCACTGCCTCCCTGCTAAGACAACCCCCAAAGATGCTATGGATGTGATGCCAAGCCGGGAGCAAACAGAATTTAGGTGGAAGGAGTCTACTGATATAAACCATTCACAAGTATTTCCCTTAATTCAACAAATACCCAGCCAAGCGTTTTCTGTGGGTGATGGTAGGTTTCAGTGAGCAAACAGACCTGCTGCCCTACCCTGGGGCTTCTATTCTGCAGTAGGAAAGAGAAAACATAAGAAATAAGTAAATGCAGTAGTAGATCTGAGTGATTAGTGCCAAGAGAAAAAAAAATAAAGTGGGGGAAACTCACAGTAGTGGCAGTGGGGGTGACCCAGCTAACAGGCTATCCAGGCAGGACTCCAGTCTGCCCCTCAGTATCCACGTCCCAGCTGCACATGGCTTTGCCTGGGGCCCAGGTGTGCAACCTACCACCATCTCATGCTGACACTGCAATCAGGGCATCTGCAGGACCCCAAATTCCCAGCCTAGAAGAGCCCCAACTCTAGAAGAGCACCACCATCCAGGTGGTGACAGCAGAGGCACCCCAACCATGATGGAAAAGGTTTCTAGGAAACATTCTCAACCAGTGGAGATGGCCTTGGAGAACAGATGGACAACGCAGAAGACACTCTGCAGCTGACATGTTCTAGACTGTTGTATTTCCCCTGCCGGAATCTGAGAGAGAGCTTCAGAGACTGGCCAAGCCACTCGCAGACAGCAGGCAGTCTCACAATGCCTGGACCCTACACCTGCCTCTCAGGCTGTGCGCTCCCATCAGTGCTGCCCCTGCCCTCAGGGGCTGTGCAAGTGCTAGACCATTGGCTTCTGAGCCCTCTTCTCACCGTGCTGGACATTCCTCCCTGTCCTTGCACCCTTCTTTGACAATCCTAGTCTCAGCCCATGGGTGGGTTAGGAAATGGGTGGGGTGAGGCTGGAACACTCCAAGTTCCCAGGGTAGTCTATGATTGGCTCTGGCCACCCACATGGCCCGCCACTGACAGTCATTGGTTTGGGATGGATACCTGACCCAATCAGAGACAACGTCCTGGAGAATACATTTCTATACCCTCCTGCAAGTTCTTAAGAGCTAAGAACTAAGCTTAAGAGCAGTGGTCTCTCCTCAGCACAACATAAGAGCCCCTGCCTGGCCTGAAGGTGGCACAGCGTGAGACAGCAGATCCCCAAATACCTGCATCTGGGGTGAGGGCACTCATGTCCTGGAGCTACAGTTGAAGCCAATCCTACAACTTCACAGTGGTGAAAGCAAGATTCTCTCAAGGATGAAGATGGTTTGAAGTAGAATTTCTATCCTCTGGAACCAAAAGAGCCCTAAGGGCCAGAGAATGGGAAAGAATGACAAACTTGCGGCCACTTCTCTCTCATAGGTGAGTGTGAGTGAAGGGCTTCACTGTACTTCAGAGAGGAATCCACACAGCCTTCAAGACCCTGGAAACAGACATCGTTTACCCCGCTGCACACACAGAACTCAGGCCAGAAAGGTGAATGTGCCCAGGCCCAAGCTGTCAGCAGACCGTGACTCAAATTCAGGTGGCCTCTCCAATCCTTCCTTCTCCTCTCCTTGCAAGAACAGGATCCGGTCACTCTGGGCAGCTGGACCTACCAGGACGTGCATCTCAGTGGAAACCACAGTTTGGCCAGCTTCCAATGAGCCATCATTGAAAGTTATCCTGTGAAGAACTCCCCTTCATGGGGTCAAAGACTGGAGAAGAGGCCACCACCCCAACATCCTTCTCACTGTCCTCCCTGGCACCGGTAGTGAGGTGAGCATGCCTACCTAGAGTCAGGACGTGGCTAAATTTGGAATAGGGTATTTGCAGATGGAACGAAGATATACATTAAGATAAGACTGTGCAGTGACTCTCTCTGCACAAGGAGAGGACCAGATGGGGCTCTCATGGAGAAGGCCACAAGATCGACTGGAGAGATGCACGGACACTCCAAGGAGCACCATGCCTGGCCAGTCGCCAGCAGAAGCTGGCAGAGACAGGGAGGAGCCTGTCTAGAGCCGTTGGAGGGAGCATGGCCCTGCTGACACCTGGGTGCTGGACCTGGAGCCTCTGTCATTATAAACCAGCACGTCTGTGGTAATGTCACAGCAGCCTTAGGAAACTAACAGAGCACCATGCCAGATTCTCCAGGAGCTGAGGGCACTTAGTAAAGGGCCACTGTCCCATCCCCTGTGGCCAGGTACAGTTGAAAGAGGAAGTCCTGGACAAGAGGTTAAAGTATGTGTGACCTCTAAAGTGAAAGTGTCCTCAAAGGAAGACCCAACACACTTCTTCATCTCTCCTCCTACCACCAACCTGAAACAAAGATGACGGCTGGCACTCAATGGGGATGGAGGACCATGAGGATCAGTGCCACATCCCAGGACTTCTTCAAAAGGGGACCCTTGGAAATACATGTGTCCCTCACAACTCTCTGGAGCCCTAGAGAGCCCCTTGCCTGCAGATCTCCAGACCCTGTAAATGAGAGGGGAAAATCCTCCACCCAACAAGCCCCTGATCACCTGAGGGCATCCCACCTAAAAGCAGCCCCAGTGCTCCCAGCTGGTCTGAGGAGTGACCAGCGCCAGGGCATCACTGCCCCTGTGGTCAGGAGTGCCCTTCCTAAGAGGCATGCGGTGTGCAGGGGAAGTCAGAGCCTCGCCTGTCTGCAAGGAGGGGCCACAGGAAGCCGCCTTCCAACGTGCTGTCATGGCAACAGCCCTGCCTGAGCAGTGAGGCTGAGCAGACGCAAGACAACAGGTGAACACACAGCGCCTGCTGCTCCGTCCACACAGACCATGGTGAAGCCACAAGAGCCACGTGTGCTGGGAGGCACCTGAACTGGGGATACTGCCTGGCCCTAAAATGGAAATAGCCTCTCGGCACTGATTCCTGGGTACACTGGAGATTCAGTCCTGGCGTCGCTTGTGTAAACACATGCAGTTCATCCCCATTTTCTTTCTTTTACATATGCACTGTCCCTGTGATGAAAGAAGATATTTTTCATGTCTCCTACTACAGAAACTTGCTGCTAGATGCTTTAGCTCATTTAATTCTCATAACTCTGCAACAGATATGTGATTGCCCCCATTTTATAGATAAGGCATCAGAGGCTCTGAGATGGTAAGCAACTTCCCTGGGATTACACAGCAAACAAGAGGGGAGTTTAGATAATCACACCAGGACAGACTTTCTGCACCACTCCTTGTGTGTTCAACTTATGCCCAGGGCTCCAGGGTCCCACCACCCCAGTGGGGGTTCCACCCTCCTCCCTTCTGCTGCCCTCACTGGCCTGGGCAGCCCCAGGCCTCCTGATCTTCATCCCACACTGAGGCCCTTGACTCTGGATGGGTGATGGAAACATCCACCAGCAGCAGCCTACAGGCCATCTCTGCCCTGCTTCCCACCCGCTTCCCTTCAGCTGGCTTCT